TCACCGCAGGGTATTTACTGTAGTGCAAAGTAAAGTCCTGGGTTTGTTCTAAATACCCCAAAACTCGTTTCATTGCCATCCAATGAGATTGACTTGGATTACTCGTGTATCGACTCAGTTTACTTATAGCACAAGCTATATCTGGTCGTGTACAATTCATGATATACATTAAATATCCCAATACACGAGCATAATCCAATTGTGATATGCTTTGGCCTTTGTTCTTTGCTAGTGCAAGATTTGTACGTCAATTGGAGTCTTTGCAACTTTAAAATCTAAGTGCTTGAATTTTTTCAAATATTGTTTTAATATAATGAGATTGTGATAATGCCAGACCTTGGGGAGTCTTATGGATCTTAATACCCAGAATTAAATCGGCAATTCCCAAGTCCTTCATATCAAACTTGCTAGTTAGCATACGCTTAGTCGCATTTATGTTGGCAGTGTCATTACTCATTATCAGCATATCATCCACATATAAGCAAATAATGACTATGTGATTTGTAACATTTTTATTGTGCACACATTTATCACATTCATTTATCTTAAAACCATTTGACAATATTTTTTGGTCATGCCATTATTTAGGTACTTGTTTTAGTCCGTCAAAAGACTTAACAAGTCTACAAACCTTCTTTTCTTTACCTGGAACCACAAACCCTTCAGGTTGTTCTATGTTATTTCTTCCTCCAAAATCTCCAGTTAAGAAGGCTGTCTTAACGTCTATTTGATGAATTTCAAGACCATAAACAACAGCTAATGCTACTAACGTTCGTATAGACGTAATTCTTGTAACTGGAGAGTCTGTATCAAAATAGTCAAGACCTTCTCGTTGTCTATACCCTTTGACCACAAGTCTTACCTTATATTTATCAATAGTGTCATCATCTTTCATTTTCCTCTTAAAAATCTATTTAGAACCCAACGGTTTATTTACAGAAGGAAGATCAATCAATTCCCATGTATGGTTGTTCAATAAGGATTCTATTTCACTATTGAGTGCCTCTTTCCAAAATAATGATTCTGAAGAAGACATAGCTTCTTTAAATGTTCGAGACTCATTTTCCAATAAGAAAGTCACAAAATATGGTCCAAATGAAGTAGATGTTCTTTGACGTTTACTACGTCTTTGATCCTCCTGATTAAATGTACTTTCTTTTGTTTCTTCCCGAGGTTGTTTTGATCCTTCACCAATCGACTCACATTTCTTTTTTATACGGATATATATTTTTGAAGAACTCAACATTATCTGATTCTATAACTGTATTATTATGAATGTCGGGATTTTTTGATTTATGAACCAGAAATCGATATGCTTTACTATTGGTCGCATATCCTATAAAAATACAATCAACGGTTTTCGGTCCTATTTTTACCCTTTTGGGTTTAGGAAGTTGCACTTTTGCCAAACGCCCCCACACTTTAAAATAATTCAAGTTGGGCTTCCTTCCTTTCTATTTTTCATATGGGATGGATTGTGTTTTGCTATGTGGTACTTGATTTAGTATCCGGTTAGCCGTAAGAATGGCTTCCCCCCCCTCCCCCCCCCCAAGTTCTATGGCAAACCAGAACTTATCAACAATGCGTTCATCATCTCCTTTAATGAACGATTCTTTTTTCTCGCAATCCCATTGGATTGGGGCGTGTAAGGGCCGTTGTTTGATGAATAATTCCATATTCTAAACATATTTCTTCAAAAGGAGATTCATATTCACCACCCCTATCACTTCTTATCATTTTGATTTTCTTATTAAGTTGCATTTCAACTTCATTTTTGTGTTGCTTGAATGCATCTATTACTTCATCTTTGTAATTAAGTAAGTAAGCATAGCAATATCGAGTACTGTCGTCAGTAAAAGTTATGAAATACTTCTTTCCACCGCGAGATGGTATTGACTTGATGTTGCAAATATCTGTGTGACCTAAGTCTAAAGGATTTGAATTCCTTTCAACTGCTTATAAGGATGTTTAACATACTTAGATTCCACACATATTTGACATTTTGATTTGTAGCATTCAAACTTAGGCAATACTTCCACATTAATTATTTTTCGCAAGGTTTTATAATTGACATGTCCCAAACGTATATGCCATAAATCATTTGACTCAAGTAAGTAAGAAGAAGCTGAAATTTTAATATTCTCAACGATCATTACAATCAGTTTGAAAAGGGCCTCAGTGAGTTAACCTTTTCCTACAAACATCTCATTCATACTTATTACAACCTTATCAGATACAAAATACACTTAAACCCGTTCTTAACGAGAAGTTCAAAAGAGACTAAGTTCTTCCTAATTCCAGGAACATGAAGGATGTTGTTCAGAGTCACCACCTTGCCAGAAGTCATTTTCAGAAATATCTTGCCACATCCTTCAATCTTGACTGTTGCAGAATTTCCATAGAAAGCGTCTCTTCAGGTCCAACGGGAGCATAAGTAGCAAACGCTTCTCTAACAGCACAAATATGGCGAGTGGCTACAGAATCAATCCACCATTCTTTAGGATTTCCTACCAGGTTGCATTCAGAAAGCATAGCACACAAGTCATCAATATCCTCGTGCTTTTCAACCATGTTTGCTTGACCCTTCTTCTTGTCTTTCCTTGGAGCACGATAATCTGCAGATTTATGTCCAGCTTTCCCACAGTTGTAGCAATTTTTTTTGAACCACTTCTTGCTTGGGTTGCTTTTTGGTCCAAAAGCCTTCTTCCTCTTTCTATTATTTTGAGGAGCATCCTCAACAATGTTTGCTCCCATTATTGTTGAGTTTCCACGACCTTTCTTTTCAGCAGCTTTGCTGTCCTCTTTGATTCTCAACCGAAAAGATCTCAAGCGACATCTCCTTGCGCTTGTGTTACAAGTAATTTTTGAAGTCCTTCCACAAAGGAGGCAACTTATCAATTATCGCTGCAACTTGGAATGCTTCATTGATGATAAGACCTTCAATGAAAATTCTGCTAGTAATAATAATATAATTAATACTTTCAACATAAGTATTAATTCGACTTATACCTTCAGCAAGGAGAGCGTGAATAATCGCTTGCAATTCCTGGACTTGGTAATAACAGACTTGCTATCTACCATTTTATAGTCCAAAAATTTAGCGCCAACAAATTTCTTCAACCCTGTATCCTCAGTTTTGTATTTCTTTTCAAGTGCAATCCACAGTTCTTTTGGCGTCTCCACATTACTATAGACGTTATACAGATCGTCCTGCAGTCCGCTAAGAATGTAATTCTTGCACAAAAAATCAAAATGCTTCCACGCCTCAGTCACGAGAAAGCGTTCATTATTTGGAGTTTCGTCGGGCAGAACAGGAACATCTTCCTTAATGAACTTCTGTAGAGTTAAAGTCGGCAAGTAGAAGAACATCTTCTGCTGCCATCACTTGAAATCAATCTCGAAAAATTTTTCGGGCTTTTCTGCCGGTGCTGGTGCAAATGCCGGTGTTGTTCAGCTTGTCGATGCATTGGCAGTCACCATAGGAACATCCTGGTTTCCGTTCTAAGTCATCATTTCTGTAAAAGAATGACACAAACAAACGTTTAATAAACGGTGAAGTTTTTATATCTTCAAACCAAATAAAATTGGAGTAGAAAATCACGTAGATTTTAATCTCCAACGGCATAGAAAATTGTTAGGATTTTAATCTCCGAATAACAGATAATAAACCAAAACCGAATATACGTTAAAGTAAACAAATGAACTAGAAAACCACGAAGGTTTTAATTTCCAAAACGGGAGTAGAAAATCACAAAGGTTTTTGTCTCCAGAATAGTGAGTATAATACAAATACAGAAAATAATTAAGTTCCTTAAGCTTGTTAGAATATTGTATTTGAAAAATAATTCTGGAGAAGAAAACAACGTATAAACAGAAATGTGGAAGAAGTAGAAATTAATCCGAACCCATTGAATTCACAGTGTTTCCTTAAGGAACTTAATCCCTTGCTAGTACCCCGAGGTTGTGGATTATTTTCTCCTAGGATAGAACGGATTACACACTGGTGTAGCGGTACTTCAAACCCCAGTGTTTCAACGAACACAAATGGCGGTAGCAAATCACACTTACGTTGTTTGTTTTGTAAAAAACAATGCAGAAAGGAAGAGAAGAATTCAAAATTTTCTTAAGGAAAATTTTTAAGGAACGGTCTGCTATTTATAGCCAACATGTTGAGTTTAAACGAAGAGGTGCAACTCTTCAGAAGGTCTCATGACTGTTCACGTAAAACGGTCATTACGTAAATGGCTATTTACGCAAAATAAAACGGAAATTCAAAACGCGGAGGAAAATTAATTTTCCGTTACATAAATGACTAATTTGGATTAAATAATATTACGTTAATCTTGATATTAACAAATAAATTTGGTCCAAAAAATAAATCAATCAATTGATCATTTGACCAAATCCAAATCCATATCCAAAGCTAAAGCTTGCCCTCTTCTTAACTCTTTAAGAGCTAGAAGAAGAACAATTGTATATATACCCATCAAAAGTCTTTTCCTCCTCCAATATGGGACAACGTCCCTTTGTCAAAGAGGGAAAATCAAAATTTCATTTTTCCCTCCATTTCCCATTCACCATCTTTTAAGCTAAAATAAGCTTTAAAACCTAACAGTGTTGTACCTCCAATATGGGACTTTTCGGCACGAATTCGAATTAGTCGGCCCCATTGCGTATATCGGACCCCTGGGGGAAACAAAAAAAAAGTAAGTTCAGGCGGAAGGTAAACTTGGTGTTTTCGAATTTCACCCCAACGTAGCGACTTCAATTTTTCATGCCGACGTACGACACTAAAACTTTTTCTTTTCATCATTAACCTATTATTATATTGCTTGTACTCTTTAGATACGTCAAAATTTTTATATATTGATGATTCTCTTTCAATATCGCCCCTTCTTTATATTCAGCAATAAATATCGATCCCATTGCTCTTAACGGCTCTCTCTACTACTACTGCTTTTCTCTTTATCTCTCTTATGTTCGTTCCTTCATATCCAAAACCAGTTTCACTCTCTCTTATATTTCCCTTTTTAGTCTCATTCACTTTCAGCCTTTTTCTTGATCTTGACATTAACAACTAGAAAATGGAGGGTGAGAGTTTGTCTGATCATTTCTTTGAGGATTCTGAATTTGACATCTTTAGTATTTTAGAGGCTTTAGATGGAGGCGGTGCGTCGGAGTTTAACATGAGTAACACCACAACAACAACGACGACGACGACAACTTCGGATGAAATTAATGGTTTAGTTTCAAAAGAAGAAGAGAAGAAAAGGAAGTTGGTTTCTCAGAAATCAACAGGTTCGAGTGCAACTTTACAAGAAAACTCAGAAACTGAAGCAGACGGTGGTGCTACACCAAATAGCAATAAGAGACAAAGAGTAGCAACAGTAATTGGTGGGGTAGAGGAGGGAAATAACCAAATGGAAACAAAGATTTCTCACATAACAGTTGAAAGAAACCGCAGAAAGCAAATGAATGAACATTTGTCTGTTCTTCGCTCTTTGATGCCTTGTTTTTATGCTAAACGAGTACGCTTCTATTTCTCTTTTCCAACTATATATTGCTATCTTTTCATTTTCTAGAGGTTAATTTCAACCATATCTGCTTTTGAGTTTAATTAACTTCTATACTTTTTTCCTTCTTCTCTGTGGTTCGAAAACGTATCATTACATTCTCGTCTAAATCTTGTTTTTCAATTACTTAAACTGAATTTTCACACTAATCATATCATGTTAATAGATAACTACAAGTAAAAGTTGAATAAAAAGAGAGATAAGGAAGTTAAAAACTTAATCAGATTATCTGATACAACAAGTTAAAATATATTAATAGTGTAAAAACTCCTTAGACTGCACTAGGTTTGTTGTTGGTGTGGTTGTCGTTGTTCAAGCATATATAAGTTAGTTAGTTCTCAATCTTTTTGCTTACACTTTGGTTAACTACTTGTCTTGTATAATAATCTGATGAACTAATTAACACATGTAAGAAACCTTAAATGAAATAATTTTCTAGTGGGTGTGGGGGCATGCATGTTCTAAATGTGTTCTTGAAAATGTTCTACGTACTACACTTCTGAAACGCCATTTCCTTGTTTTGAAGTTAATTAGCATAATTTAAATTTCTTGTTTACATGTTTAATCAGGGTGATCAAGCATCAATAATTGGTGGGGTAGTGGATTACATAAACGAGCTGCAGCAAGTTTTACAATCATTAGAAGCCAAGAAACAGCGCAAAGTTTACAGTGAAGTTCTAAGTCCAAGACTAGTAATTCCAAGTCCAAGAGTATTACCTTCACCACTTAGTCCAAGAAAACCACCACTTAGCCCCAAAATTAACTTACCAATTAGCCCAAGAACCCCACAACCAACCAGCCCTTATAAACCTAATAATAATAATAATAATAATAATAACAACAGGTTACAGCAACCAACAATATCTGCTACTCCACTTGAACCATCTCCTACTTCTTCTTCAACTAATTCCTCCATTGACAGTGTCAATGAACTTGCTGCTAATTCAAAATCAGCAATTGCTGATGTAGAGGTGAAATTCTCAGGCGCTAATGTTATACTGAAGACGGTTTCGCCGCGAATTCCTGGCCAAGCTGTGAAGATTATTGCTGCTTTAGAAGAACTCGCACTGGAAATACTACATGTTAGTATCAGTACTATTGATGGAACCATGCTCAACTCTTTCACTATTAAGGTAAATTCATAAGTTTAAAGTTACGTACGTTATTTATACGACCAGATTAAATTGATCTATAACAATAGAACTGATATTTATATAGTCAATGTATATACTTAAATTCATACGTACATAAGGCTAGCTCAATAACTCTCAAATTACTATCATGAAGCTGAATTCACCCTAGCAAGTTACGCAGCTGGCATTATTATTACCTTCTTTTATGACCAAGTATAAATCTTTCACAATTTGAAGTAAGTTCTACTACTATAATTTATTGGTAGCTCAAGTCCTAAAATGTATTTTCATGATAAGAACCTTAAACCACTTTATTTTATTATTTTTCTATTTCAATCTCTTTCATTTAATGCACCTTTACCTAGAGGTGTACAAGAAGTTGAATATACATCTTTTTTGTTATAATTGACCTAAGCTTATTCCAAATATGACTATACATAACATATCATAGTTTGATATGGAGATAGAGTTGACAAGTCAGGACAATTGAGGAAACTTTTTTACTAGCACAAAATGTTATATTTGATGCCAAAAATTCCTAGTAATCATTTGATTCCGATGGTGAAACATACTTGTGGGCAATCATTTGTACTTTCTGGTTAACTTTTCTACATATGGCACCCTTGACAACCACACTTCTTCCAAAAGATTTTAACTCCGGTATTATTTCAGTAAATTTAATTTACTATCGGTATTAAAGCATTAATCTTCATGTATCACTAACAGCATATGGAAAAGACTAAGCCCGTTTGGCCATAAAATATTTTTCACTTTGTTTCGAAATCAATGTTTGGCCATAAAATTTTCAATTTTCACTTGAAGATGAATTTTGAAATTTTTCGAAAATTTGAAAAATTCTAAAAAGCTGTTTTCCAAAAAATTTCACTCAGATCACTCAAAAAATTAAAAAACAACCCAAAATTATATTCATGTCCAAACACAACTCTAATTTTTAAATACTATTTTAACTTAAATTTTTTTTTTTTCACATTCATCGGAATTTTATAATTGTTATGTCCAAACCCACTTAAACACTTTCTAGAGAATCCCTGTGGTTTCTTTAAATTAGTGAGGATTTCAAAGCTAATGATTGGTAATTTGTTGTGCTTTGACAGATCGGAATTGAATGCCAACTAAGTGCTGAGGAACTGGCTCATCAGATTCAGCAGACATTCTGCTAAGCCCAGTACTCAATAATTACTTTAGTAATTTAGTAGTACATGTCCAGACCACCTTTTTTCCTTCTTTTTTTTTTTAACTAAAAGAAGTGTCGCATTCCTAGATCGATCTGACTAGGGAGCTGTAACAATAAAAGAGAATGTGGGTAGGTTGAATTTACCACCATTCTGTTTTAACAGATGTTACGTATAGATTGTATTTACTAGCTAGTGATCGTTTGATATGACCCTTCTGTACTCATTTTCTTATGTTCAGTCTTTGTATTTTCATTTGTGTACTCCGTGTCCTCTTTAAACTAAGTAATTATAATGTGTTCTTTCACTTAATTTCATCTGTTTTGCTGCCAATTAATGAACTTATATATTTCTATAAAAAATAATAGCTCAAACATCAAGGAATTAATTAAATCAGTGGAATCCGAGGTAAAATTAAACTATGAAGGAATGAGATATATATCATTGTCAAAGAGTTTGCATGTGATCATATACTCTTAATAGAGCTCTATACGTACTGTATATATACCAGTTGGATGCCTTGTCATGCTTTAACGGTTCCTAATCTGTAAATTACCTAATGTGGTCCGACCTTTCTTTGGATAGGACCTCACGTATAGCATGTATAATATTAATACCAGTCTGAGGCGTAGGTATAAGTCCAGATACGGGTTCAGTAGAACGACATAGTTTTGGTCAAACAATGTATTTGTATTAAGAAATTCATTAAATATATAGACATATAAATTTTAGAATGCAGTTATTAGCTAGCATTTAAATAAAGTCGTCATTCTAAGATTGAGAACCCATAAGTTGGTATTCTGGCATGCCTCTGGCATCGGGTTGTCTTTTTTAATTTTATTTACTGCAAATGAATTTGTGAAATTAATATATTATGGGGTAATAGTTATAGAGATATTTATACATTCCAAATACAGAAGTGAAGATTAACATAGAGAACCCATCTTCTCTAGCTAAATTGCCAAATTGATACCTACGTTGTGTGAGAAGCTACAGTACATTTGAGCAATGGGTGCAAATGCATTCATTATCTTTTTACTAATATGATATTTAAACTAAATTTGCACATAAATGCAAAAAGATGAGTAGTATTGAATACAATGATAATCTTCACACATTCATGTAGAATTTATAATTTACGTTTAGTATTTAATCCGTATGCCTCGTATCAGCCACATACAAAAAGCCTCTGGGCTGCATGCATTTCATCGATGAGTTTGCTAATTTGATGATGAAGCAAAAACCAATAATATTTGCACCTTAATACATATGTTTGGAAACATACCTTTAGACAAAGGAGGAAACTATTTACGTTCTCCAGCCTTTTCCATTCCAATAATGAATTTAGGAGTCATGCACGAATTATATTTGTTAGAAGATATACTTAAGTAAATAAAAATTTGATTTGTCGAATAGTTTAAGTTTTTATATGAGAAGGTGACACATTAACATGGTATTATAGAGCAAGCGGAGGTCCTGAGTTCGAGTTTCACCACCACTTATTAATTAAAAAAAAAATTACGTACTTGGCTCGTCAAAAATGAATCAAGACAACACGTGAGGTTGTGTGTTGAAGTCACAATTAAATAAAAATATACTCTAGTCGCTTAAACAGTTTGACTTCAAATCGTATTAATGTAGTCCTCTTTATACCAACTTAGCTGAAATTTCATGAAAAAACACGTAGGTATATTATATTATTAAGTTGGCACCACAGATCTACTAATATACCCATCTAAATATTGCTTAATCAAGTGAGAGAGTAAATTAAGTCTAATGCAATATCGACTTCACCCTAGATCATTGAATGAGCTATTAGAGCTTTCTCAGTATGTCCCAATGATCAGGACTGTTGGGGTTTTATGTATTTAAGTATTTTAAATACTTAAAAGAGCGTGAATGGGAAATGGAGGGAAATGAAATTTTTGAGTGAAATTTTAAGTTTCTCCTTTGGCAAAGGGACATTGTCCCATATTGGAAGAGGATGTTAGGTGTTTGCCATAATTTTCTTACTATATTTGGTTTTCCTATCTCTTGAAGGAAAAGGGCAATATAATTACCTTAACTGGGTTTTCCTTTTTGTAAAAGGAAATTATAAATCTCCAATATTTGGCTAGTCCTTTTTCTTGTAGGAAAAGGTTTGGACTTCTATAAATTGAGGATCCTTCCTTCACATTCAGTAGCATCCACAATGTAGCCGTATGGGATTTGAGAGTCGTGTTTAGGGGGAGAACTTTACGGGACAAGTGTTAGTGTGTCACTTGTGTTTGCCTCTTCGTGAGGTTGTTCTCTCGATATTTTGTACTCTCTTTTTATTATAGTGGATTGCTCATCTCCGTTGTGGACGTAGGTCAGTTGACCGAACCACGTTAAATGTTTGTGTTTCTTTTGGTAGATTTCTCCTTTGTTGTCTGATTTATCGTCGTTGAAGGTTTGCTTTGCTAGCTTCCGCATGACACCTGACTTTTTTCGGTCCTAACAGAGGAAGAGGTTTTTTATGGGTATATAAGCAATTGCTCTTCTTCTAGCTCTTAAAGAGTTGAGAAGAAGGCAAACCTCGCGCCGTCGTCGCTCGCTCGGCTTCGGCTTCGGCTTCGGCTTCGGCTTCGGCTTCGGCTTATTGATTAATTTTTTGGATCAAATTTATTTGTTAATAGTAAAATATTAACAGAAATGTTATTAAATATTTGTTTTAATAACGGAATATTAATATTAAAATAGATATTAATATTAAATCCAATCCGTTTTTCTGTTTTGGGCCGTTTTGCATAAACAGCCATTCTGAAGAGTTGCACCTCTTCAGATTTCAGCCCAACTTTGGCTATAAATATAAGACTATTCTGCTCAGAATTTCCATACGAATTTTCTGAGTTCTTCTCCTCTCTTCTGCATATTTTAACTTCAAAGAAAGCAACAGCAAGTGTGATTTGCTACCGAACTTTATGTTCGCTGAAATACTGGGGTTTGAAGTACCACTACACCAGTGTGTAATTCGTTCTATCCTGGGAGGAAATAATCCATAACCTTGGGTACTAGGAGGGGATTAAATTCCTTAAGGAAACACTGTGAATTCAGTGGGCTCGAATTGGTTTTTTGTTATTTCATTTACATTTCTGTTTATGTTATTTTATTTTCTCCAGAATTGTTTTACAAATACAGATTAATAACAAGGACATGATTATCTTCATCTTCCTATCCTAGCCTACCCTAACAACTCTCTTTTGGAGTTTGTAATGAAGACCTGAACCTATGCTTCTAAATAGGTTCTGTATCGTTGTTCAATCTATACCCTGTTATAAGGCCAGAAACTAGCTACAAGACTATAGTTGAGGCTTACCCTTCAATTAATTGACTACTTCCAAAATGTAAGACATATAAGAGTTTCTATAAGTCAGTTCAATCGTAATGTACTTGAATCTTCAGTAATTAATGATACAATGACTAATGTGTTAGGTGTTTGCCATAATTTTCTTACCATATTTGGTTTTTCTATTTGTTGAAGGAAAGGACAACATGTTTACCTTAATTGAGTTTTCCTTCTTGTAGAAGGAAATTACAAATCTCCTATATTTGGCTAGTCCTTTTTCTTGTAAGAAAAGGTTTGGACTTCTATAAATTGAGGATCATTCCTTCTCATTCAGTAGCATCCACAATGTAGCCATATGGGGTTTGAGGGTCGTGTTTAGGGGAGAACTTTACGGGACAAGTGTTAGTGTGTCACTTGTGTTTGCCTCTTCGTGAGGTTGTTCTCTCGATATTTTGTACTCTCTTTTTATTATAGTGGATTGCTCATCTCCGTTGTGGACGTAGGTCAGTTGACCGAACCACGTTCAATGTTTGTGTCTCTTTTGGTAGATTTCTCCTTTGTTGTCTGATTTATCGTCGTTGAAGATTTGCTTTGCTAGCTTTCGCATGACACCTGACTTTTTTCGGTCCTAACAAGTGGTATCAGAGTGAGGTTTAAGACAGGTTCATCACGACAGTTTCAGTTCTAGCCGCAACCTATTTGACGATAATCGTGATTTTTGTCTGAGAATTTGACCGGTGTGCTACGCACGTTGAGACAAACTTTGTGGTGGAGATTTGGAGCGACCTGCTGAAGGCTATGTGATGAAGGTAGATCAAGTTTATTTTGTTAGAAAATTCAGGCCGAGGGGGAGAATTGTTAGGTGTTTGTCCAGATTTTCTTACCATAATTGGTTTCCTATCTCATGAAGGAAAGAACAACATATTTATCATAATTGGGTTTTTCTTTTCCTAGAAGGAAAATATAATTCTTCCATATTTGGCTAGTCCCTTTTCTGGTAGGAAAATGTTTGGAGTTCTATAAATTGAAGATCCGTCCTCCTCATTCAATAGCATCCACAATGTAGCCATATGGGGTTTGTGAGTCGTGTTTAGGGGGAGAACTTTACGGGACAGGTGTTAGTGTATCACTTGTGTTTGCCTCTTCGTGAGGTTGTTCTCTCGTTATTTTGCACTCTCTTTTATTATAGTGGATTGCTCATCTCCGTCGTGGACGTATGTCAATTGACTGAACCACGTTAAATGTTTGTGTCTCTTTTGGTATATTTCTCTTTTGTTGTCGAACTTACCGTTGTTCAAGGTTTGCTTTGCTAGATTCCGTATGACACCTGAATTTTTCGGTCCTAACAAGTGGTATCAGAGCGAGGTTTAAGGCAGGTTCATCTTGGCAGGTTTAGTTCTAGTCGCAACCTATTTGACGGTAATCATGATTTTTGTCTGAGAAATTTGATCGGAGTGCTACGCACGTTGAGACAAACTTTGTGGTGGAAATTTGGAGATGCGACCTGTTGAAGGCTACGTGAAGAAGGTGGATCAAGTTTATTTTGTCAGAAAATTCAGGCCAAGAGGGAGAACTGTTAGGCGTTTGCCATAATTTTCTTACCATATTTGGTTTTCCTATTTGTTGAAAGAAAGGGCAACATGTTTACCTTAATTGGGTTTTCCTTCTTGTAGAAGGAAATTACAAATCTCCTAT